TCCCCACTGCCTCCTCCCATCTCTTCCCAGCCAGCGATCTCCCCCTGCACCCGCAGATCTCTCTGCGTTCTCCCCGTACCCAGATCTCCCTCTGCACCCCCAGATCTCTCTGCGTTCTCCCCGTACCCAGATCTCCCTCTGCACCCCCAGATATCTCTGCGTGCTCCCTTCACCCCCAATTTGCCTGCTGCACCCCCAGATGCCCGCCTCTCACCATGGTCAGCACTTGCAGCATGGTGTCTATATGCCAGCGTTTGTTCGGAGCAAATCTGGGGGCGACAAGAGATAAAGGGGGTGGGGGGGGGCCACACGCTGACCCCCCCAGCCCCACTCCTCACAGTGCCCCCTGCCAGCCAGACTCACCTCTCGGCAGCGAGGAGCAGCCCTGAGGCGCAGGGGGGCTTCATGGCCGGGGGGCAGGTCTCCAGGAAACCCAGCAGCTCCTGGGTCATGGTCCGGATGTTGGCACCCGTCAGCAGGGCCAGGCTGAGATCCAGGGCGCGTCTGGGTGCAGAGAGGGAGGGGGTCAGTCGCTGGGGGCCGGGCCCGCCCCAGCCCCCCTCCAGGTGCCCCCAGGCCCCCCGTGTCTCACCGGTGGATGGAGGGGTCCGGGTCACGCAGACAGGCCAGCACGGTGGCACGGTGCCTCTGGAGGGCGCTCTGCTCCGCATGCACCAGCCGCAGCAGGGACGTCAGGGCCACAGACCTGGGGAACGGCCCCCCGCCTTGGGGTAAGCGCCCCGCGCGGCCTCCCGGACGCCTGGGTCCCGTCCCCGGCTCTCCAGTCACCCCCAACCCTCCCCGCCCTGTGCCCCCAAACTCAGCTCTCCCTGCCCTGTGCCCCCAAACTCAGATCCCCCAACCCAGCCACTCCCCGCCCTGTGTCCCCAAACTCAGATCTCCCTGCCCTGTGCCCCCAAACTCAGACCCCCCACCCAGCCCCTCCCTGCCCTGTGCCCCCAAACTCTCATCCCCCATCCAACCCCTCAAAACAGCTCCTCCCCATCCTCTGTCCCCCCAATCTAGCCCCCCCTCCTCTCTCTTTCTCACCCCAAACCCAGCCCCTCCCAGTCATCCTCCCTGACTCCACCCCCAAACCTAGCCCCATCTCCCATTCCCTCCATTTCCCCCCACCCCCCGCATCCCACAGGGCGCTAATGTCCAGGACACCTGGGTCCCATTTGCAGTCCTGGTCTCTTCCCACCCCCTTTCTTACTAGGGGCCACAGAGAGCGTGCCGGACACCTGGGTCCTTTTTACCTGATGTTCCGATCCCTGCTGAGGAGGAATCGTCCCAGAATATTGACAGCCAGAACCTGGGGGAGAGCAGGGGGAAGAAGCTGAAGGGGAGCTAGGAAGGAGGGGATGGGGCAGTGCAGCCAGGGAATGAGCCGGGAATCAGATTCCAGGGTTGGGTGGTGTTAACCTCCGGAACTACCCGCTACTGGATTGTGGCCCAAATGTTGAAGGGCGGGGGCTGGGAACGAGGGAAATGGGCAGAGAGATTGGAGGAGGAGTGGCGGGGGGGCGGAAATGGGGCAGAGCAGCCAATGAATGAGTGGGGAATCGGGTCTCACGATTAGATTGCTCCTGGGTGCAGTTTGGGGGCATTGACCTGGGGAACTACCTGCTACTGGATTCTGGCTTGACTGGAGGAGGGAACGGGGCTCTGGAAGGGGGAGCAGGGCAAAGAGAACGAATGAGTGGGGAGGAAGGAGGGGATGGAGCTGAGCAGACAGAGGGGATGAGGCCCCAGGGTTAAATTATGCCTGGGAGGCGGTTGGGGGGCATTAACCTGCGGAACTACCCGCTACTAGATTCTGCACTGATTGGGGGAGGGAGGAAGGGGGAAGCATGGCAGAGTCCCGGGCGGAGGAGTGCTCGGGGGTCAGGTTTGTGCCCCCCCCGTACCCGCAGGCCGGGCGCCGAGCGCACCGCTGTGATGGTCAGCACCGTCTCGTACAGCACCGCGCTCCCCACGTTGTGCAAGGTCTCCGTGTTTGTGGCCACCTGGTGGAGGGGGAGACGGGGTGGGGGGGTCAGCACCGGCTCGGTGCTTGCTCCCCCCTCCTCCCACCCCTCCCTTCCCTGCCCCCACATCTGCCCTCCTGCCCCTCCCCCTCCCATGCCCCACCCACCTGGGCCAGGATGTCGTTCATGGCCTCGCTGGTCTCCTCACTGCCCTGTCCCAGGACTCTCAGCAGCCGCAGGGCGCGCACCTGGGAGGGGAGATTGGGGGTGTCAGGGAGGGGGTCGGGTGAGGGGACCCCAAGGGGCAGCAGGGGGTGGGGGGACTAGGGGGATGGCTGGGGGCATGGGAAGAAGGTGGGGGGTATGTTTGAGGGGATGGGTGAGGGCAAGGTGAGGGGACAGGATGGGGGAATGACGCTGGGGGGCAGGGAAGGGGGGTACCTGCAGGAAGGGGTCACTGACCCCCATGATGCTGTGCTCCGGCGAGTACCCCGACACCTCTAAGTTGCGCAGCATCTCCACCACTTGGGGCACGGCCTGGAGGGGGGATGGGGGTGAGTACATTGTCCCCCCATATCACTCCCATCACCCCTTCCCTTCTCTCCCCACCCCTCCAGCACTCCATACCCCCTACCACCTCTGGAAACACCTATCCCCAGTGGGGGTGGGGGGCTGGGAGCCAGGACTCCTGGGTTCTCTCCCAGTGAGGGGACCCCCTCCCCAGCTGGTAGCTAGAGCAGGAGGCGCTGGGGGCCCAGACTCCTGGGTTCTCTCCTGGCTCTGGGAGGGGAGTGGGGGCCAGTGGTTAGAGCAGGGGGTGCTGGGGGCCCGGACTCCTGGGTTCTCTCCTGGCTCTGGGAGGGGAGTGGGGGCTAGTGGTTAGAGCAGAGGGTGCTGGAGGCCCGGACTCCTGGGTTCTCTCCTGGCTCTGGGAGGGGAGTGGGGGCTAGTGGTTAGAGCAGGGGGGTGCTGGGAGCCCAGACTCCTGGGTTCTCTCACCTTGCGGAAGTGACTCAAGACATCCGGGCTTCGCTCGCACATTTCCGTGATCAAGAGCAGGGTGACGTGAAGAAGGCCTGACAAGAGGCCGACAGGTGTCAATCAACTCCCCGGGCTCAGGGTGAGGATTCTAACCCCCCTCCCTTCTCTCTGGGCTGCAGCCCCTCACCATGGCATCAGGACAATCCTTGGCAGGGGCCAGCTCCTCTGCGGCTGGGGGTTATGGGCCAACGAGGGTATTTTGGTAAGAGGGGTATGACCCCTAGGAGTGCCTCAGTTTACCCACGGACTCCCTAGCCGCTGGGGGAGGGGGGCTGAGTCCATCTGGGTTGGGGTCTAATGGACCAGGAAGGCCTGGGCGGACTCAGCGCAGGTGGGAAAACCCGACGCTGGACCACGGAGGGGCGACACCTCTTGTCTCCACTCCACAGCCAGAGGAGGGGCTGGAGCCAGAAGGGCCCCTCTAGGGGTCCCTCCCTCCATCCCCAGATGTCTGTTCCGCCCCCCCCCCCCGAAAGGTCATCATGGATGACCTCAGGGGATCGGCTGAGGCGGGATCACGGTGCGGGATGGGGGCAGAGGTTCCTGGCGGCCGGGGGGGCAGCACTGAGGTTTGGGGGGACGGGCTGTTTCAGGGGTCCCTCACCGTGGCGGCAGTTCCCGGCGGCCGGGGGGGCGGCACTGAGGATTGGGGGGGATGGGGCGTTTCAGGGGTCCCTCACCGTGGCGTCGCTCCTTGAGGAGCCGGTCGCAGACGGGGACAAAGACGTCAGAGAGCTCCGGGACTTTGCGGACGATGTGGACGGCGCAGGCCACAGCCTGGGGGGGCAGAGGGGGGGTTAGGGGTTGCAGGGGGGTTAGGAGTTGCAGGGGGAAGGGGGGTTAGGGGCTGCGGGCAGCAGAGGAGGGGTTTAGGGGTTGCAGGGGGCCAGAGCAATGGGTTAGGGTTTTGGGGGGCAGAGGAGGGGTTTAGGGGTTGTGGGGGGCAGAGGAGGGATTTAGGGGTTACAGGGGCAGAGGA